AGATTTTCCATATTTATAAATAGTAAAGTAATTTAGTATTTAGTCATCTTGTATGTAAATAAAGCATTTAAACAATACCTAAAATTTCAGTTAATTGCAGAACTGTGGGGTTTCCCCTCCTGCACTTCACTGTAATTAGCTTTTTAAACAAATAGAGCCATATTTTCTGCAAGGYTTGCATTAACATTTCTATTAACATTTTTKGTTTATTAAGAACAACAATGCACTCACATTTAAAACAGTAACGTTAGAAACACTGAGATAGYAAGTTCCCATGGGAGTTAACCAAGCTAGATTTTCCTGGGGAAGAAAAGAAGTCAGCTTACCCTTTTGGGTGAGTTTTCTACTGTAAGAGACAGACGTCCATTATTTAGCAATCCATAGACTTTGCAGAAACAGTCTGCACATCCCTAAATGACATGTTTGTATTGCACAGGGTAGTTTGTTGAAAACATAATATGCCCTTAAAACATTAAAGAATTGATCAGTTCTCCCTCTGAGTCTTTTGAAGCTGCCCCATGCCCTGGCCACCTTTGCCCTTTGCCATCAGTCCCTCCCCCAGCAGACATGGAGCCTGAGAACTTGCATGAACACAGGGCAGTAGGGCAATCGCTCCCTGTCTAAAACAATACAGGACATAATGGATTATTTCTTCCTCGTGTTTCACACCTCTCAATCTACTCTCACAAGCGGTCAGCTTTTGCACCCTGGTGTCATTTGTTTTCCCAAAGGGAGAAGTTTGTTACCCCTATAAAGGATCTGTGCTGGAAATGCCTCCTGAAGCTCCTCCTCTCACAAGAGCAAGATACAATTATTTATTCTGTAGCAGAACCTCAAATACACTGGCCTGGCCTAGCTCACAGCTTGAAGTGCATGTTTCTTCTGGGGGTCAGAGGGGAATGGAATAGGCTTTTTAGCTCGTACACAAAGAGGGCTAGCACATGTAGACCCCCTGRTACTTGGCTTCAGATAGATGAGGAAAAAGGGATTTTAACTTTTTCTTTTTAAGCAAGTGATATATTTAATCTCTGCAACTATGAGAGAAGGTAGCTAATGCTTTACAAACTGGGAGATGTGATTTCTATTTCACAGGTTATCAGATGTTCATATGAACATACGGTACTGTGGTGTCAAGTCCATATCAAACGTAAGCTGCAACTAAGCAAACTTTGTTCATGAACTGAGGTGGAGGGTGGGGGTTGGAGGGAAAGTGTAAAAGAAGTCTTGATGCAAGATCAGAGAAACAAAGTAAAAACAGCTCAACAAACAACTTCCAGTTCCATGAGTGAATCCAAGGTTATTTTTTCAATCAAGTTAATGTGTGGACAGAATAGGAAAGAAAAATGTTAACTGACAATTTTGCAGAGTATAGAATCTCATTAGACATTTCAAGTAGCTTAGAGTTAAAGGCTGTTGGTGGAAACTTAGTTAAGAAGTAGATTTTACTCAGTTGAACCTTGTGTAGTATCTTTAAAGCAGTTAGTATTYAGACATGTGCAGCAAGTCTGTGCAAGGTTTCAGTACGCAGTGTTTAATARAGGAAGGACATTTTTACCATTAAAGTAGCCTCATGCTACCCTAGGGGCCTACACTTCTTTTTCTAGCATATATTCACTTCAGTAATATAAGTCAATGAATGTTTTTGTTACTGGCTTTAACAGCAATTTTGGTAACAAAACAACACTGCTAGGAGGCAATACTAGTAAAAGTGATAAGGAAATGCACATGAAAAGCTGATGGTTGTTATAGCAGAATACAAAAGTGGCAGAGAATTGATTGTGGGCACAATTCTATTTCCAGCAATTATTCTTAGTTAAAGAGCTGCAGGGTTCCTTTAATGGAGGAATCAAAGACTTACCCAGCTAAAACAGRTGCYGAGGTTGAACTGGTCTGTGCAGTGRTATTTATACTCTAAAGGTTTCCACAAGATAAGGCAGTGGAATACTGGATGCAATTTCATGAGGAAGGTGGTTTTGGTCCCTTACCAGCATTTMCATCAAGCATGAATTGTGGACCAAAATCTGGTCAGTGCTGCACAAACACCAGCTAGAATAAAATGTGAGATATTTTCCTCACATTTTTTCCAAACAACTGGAATAAACTGAAGGTCATTGTCTTATTTTAAGCAATTATTTTAGACCCTCATTTTGTTAATTTTAATCAGTTTTGGAGCAAAACCTCATTTATTTAAGCTCTTTTTCAATATTTGAACCATACTTTAGGAATGCGTATGAAAACATGAGCTAGTTGAAGTGGTTAAAATACTGSGTTTGCATAAAACCTTTAAATATTTCAATAAAGCTTTGTACTTACATGATCAYAGACAAAGGCACACATTTGCCAGAAATGTAGTCTGTGACAACATTCCTAGCTAGTTCCAAAAAAAAAGCCAAATTAGATTGCAGCAAGGTATTTCTTACATACATCCAGCCTTTTYTTAAACCAGTTTTTCTTTTCTGAAATATTTTTTGTTTGTAAACGTGACTATGTTAGAGAGGTAGCGATGTGCTGTAGCATGGAGTGCTTTTTTGATTCAGAATTGCCTATAATTTTCTTTTTGTTAGAGACTCTTTTTCTGATTAGATTACAGACTGAAGTGTTGACCCTCATTATTTAAAGAGGAATTAAAACTTTAAAGGCAAAGAAGAAGTTAATACTCCAAGACCTTCCATATAAACTAAGAAAGGACTAGGAAGCAGCATTGCTCTCCTGTGTGTCCTTCTATAGAGGACTCTTCTGCCCACCTTACCATCTAACTGAAGCACAGCAGAAGGAACCTTGTACCATTATAACTTATAGCTGTAAAGTAGTAGAAATATCCAGAACCTGCCACTCACCTACTCTCCTTTATTGTAATTTTCTTGGGGAAGAGAGAGACTTGTTCTATTTGCCAATTTATGTTAGACGACTAATTGTCTTCATTTTAGTATTATAACAGTTGGTAATTCAGGATGAAGCTAATAAAGCAGGTCAGGGAATCAGAGSAGAATTTCAATTCCTGCAGGGTAACACCTCCCTGCCCACCTCTGAAGTGCTACARTGGCAGCAGAGAGAAGTGGCAGCTCTTGTTAAAGCTTTGCATGTGTGTACTGTTTCCTTATTGACACTGTACCTCATGTTCCCTATTTCAGGCTCTTATTTTAGTTCTTCACATGCTTCTCTCTCTCATACAACATTGTTAGCAGAATATCCTAAGTGAAGAAAGGCAGTGGTTTGGTCAGTATCTTGTTCCTCAAAGGCTGTATTTCTGCTGAATAAAACTAGGAAATAAGTAAATATATGGTTTGAACAGATCACAGAATGCAGGATGAGGTTTGTACTRAACACTATGCTAGTGGAGATCAGGTTAGAAAAGAATGGATTGGATAAAAGTCAAAAGAGTTTTGCTAGATTGTACTGGAAAGCCAGCATACCATCTCTCCTTTGTACCATGTTCTAAGACTTTATAAAGTCCATTCCTTTAATTAAAATAAGCTCAGGTCACAATGTAGTTYGGTGTCCTGTTTTAAGGGCTTCTCCTCTTCAAGCAAACTGGAATGTGGTACTTCCCATAGAGTAGAAGGAGAAATTATGTCACTTGGATTTTCCTTGTGTGTTGTTGATTTAAAAGGACTAAGTAGTTGTTCATCGGTAGTGCTTGAATTCAAGTAATTAAAAGGAGGGGAAGAGAAGCAGACATGTCCTTTTCCCATTGAAACTGGCAGGACAAGCAGATGCACAGCAGCCTTTAACTCACATTTAACCAAGTTCCATTAYATTCATACCTCCTATCAGGCAGTTTTTGAAAAATTAGTTTCCTCATCTCAAATTTACCTGTAGTTCAGCGGAAGAGGGATTGAGGTATTGAAGTAATGATGTCAGTGTTATTCCAAAGGAGCATTAGGACAGTAATCCTGGAGGGGAGAAGACTGAAAGATGAATATAGTAATCTTCTTTCAGAAACCAGCAATTCTTAAGCATTCATCTTGTACAAATCCAATCACAGGCATCCAAGGCAAAAAACAAAATCAAGGATGCCCAAGAATTACCAGCCTCTGGAAGTCCTCTCAAAAAGAAGTTGCCTTTGCATTAGTCTCAAACCACCAGATAAACCTTATGTATAGAGTATAAGTATTGTGGCAGGGCTGCAGAAGATTGAAAATGCAGGGGTTGGTCTGTAGCTTCAGGGAATATCTGAACTCCTGTTCTGTATTTTGTGCATGTTGGTTTGGTGGCGGTAGTGGTGTGTATGCCCAATGGTAAAACTAAATGCATGAGCCCCTTGCTTGATGCCCCACATAAAGCCCGATCCTGGGGAGGTTGCACCCAACGTTGTTGTTGCTTCCTAATGTCTTGCTGTTTGACATAGGACATCAACATCGCAGGAGATTGGATGCCACCAGCTTGCTGCCACTGTTGACAATCAGTTCTAATGCACAACTTACAAAGCTGTCCAGTCTCCTTCGAATGCAATGTCTTTTGCACCTTACTAAGATTCACTTACGGTCAATAGTGTGGTAAGAGCTCACAGAGGCACACAAACTTTTGTCACACTTCTACATAAACTAAATCCTGGTTTTGCCAGAGCTGGGCACTTGCTCTGAGGGCTGAAGCCTCTGTGGGCTAAAGCCTCTGTGGGCTGAAGTGTTGCCATTTCTGGCACTTGTGACTCCTTTTCTTTGGGCAAATGCATGCATTCGTGGCCTAGTGCACACTTGTGTTACTGAGAGCTGCAAGTTTCTACAAATTTAGAGCATCACTTGAAGTACTACAGAAATAATTGATTTTTKTWTGCCAGCATGATCTTTAAACTGCATAAGGAAATCAGTACTTGATACCATGCTACAGAAAGCATGCAACCAAATTCCTTAAATAGTTATCCCTTAAAAATGTTACTGGGTAAACTGTCTCACTGTGAGCCTTTTACTTTACTATGACCTTAGCAATGGCTTTTTTCCTGTTCTGTCTAACTAATGTCTTGCATTTTTCTCTTTTCATCTCCTTTTGATGCAACCTGGAAGAAATGTCAAAAAACGAAGGTTCGATCCAAGTCAACAAGGCCCTATCTGAAGAAATGCCATTCAAAAAGCTGCTTCTTGCRCTACTGGATTTTGGGTATGATGTCTTTGCTGTAGCTACACAGGAACTAAACCAGTAAGGAAGAATATGAGAACAGTAACTATAAACACAAAATTGGGATGTTGGGATTTGAGTTGGTAGAACACTGTCCTTTTTGGAGATAAGTTGGAAATACTTCCTCCATTCACCTTTCTCTTGTTAACGTTAACTGACAAGTGTTACAAGCAAACTGCTTCAAAAAATCAGGTGTTTTTTTCCTTTTCTCAAACTAAGAAGGAGACACACAGACAAGTGCAATAAGAGAACTGTTCCAAAATAATGGAATGGCAGAAGATTCTTTTCCCAGCCTTGCTGGCACTCTAACTTCACTTGAGTTCGCATGACTTCCTTTTTCTTATCAAACTCCAGTGGCATGAGGAGCTAATTTTGAAAGGGTAACCTGCATGGCTCACATAAAAAAACCAAGTTAGCAAGCTGACCCCCAGCAGAATCTGCAGCCCAATAAACCACAGGGAAGCCAGTGCCAGSCTTCAATAACTTTTCAAGCCATGCAGTGCATTCTGCTGCTGGACTTGAGGGTTCCCTGCTCCATGAGCTCGTTGTCCACCTTGTTTTGRTCTCCTGGGCCAGGAGTCTGTTGGGTATGGAAGCTAGTGAATGATGGATGGAATTCATCCAAGAAGGAAAAAGTGTAAATATGGAAATAAGATTTTGATGTATCATTTTCACAGATTATATATAAATATATATATATGAAAGAAAATAATTTCCATATAAAAAGGTTCTATTCTTTATGTAAATCTATTTTTGATGTTGGGTTTGGTTTTGGTTTTCTTTTCTCCCCTTTTTTTCTGTAGCATGTTGTACAGCGGATGTTCTGGGCTTGCTCAAAAAAGGCAGATAACAGCATGCAGATGCAGGGAGTTCTGACACCAAACAGATGTGATCTAAAGTTTGTATGCTTGAAACCAAAAACAATTAAAATGTATAAATGCATATCTATGTATTGACTATAAGTCTGAATTACTTTTTTTTGGGCTGTTATACAGACTTTTACATAATGTGTAGTATAAGTAACACTCTCTCAAACTAATCACAGAAGTGCCAAGCTTTTGTTTTTTTTAAGTATAGCTACATTTTTTCTGCCTAGATCTTGTAAAATAAAAACTTAAGTAAGCCTTAAAATGCTCAAAAAATGTTAAAGCTTGGAATGAGTTATTCTTCTCTTGCCTTCTGTCCACCCACTCAAAGCAGCTTGCAAAGGTGACTGACCTTTTAAACTCACTCCCTGTATCTCTTTGATGCATGCCACTTTTCAAAGTTTTGCAAGATTAGTACTTTGACCCATGGCTACTGATGGCCAGTTGCCATCACATTACATGCAAAATCCCATGAAATTTCAGGTGTGTTGTCGTTCCTTTTAGAAACACCTTCTGCACAAACATAGATTTTTGCAGGGTAGTCCTGGGCAGCAGTCCTGTGTCCCTAGGAACCAGACTAGCCTGACTGCAGCTGCCTTGAGAAAAATATGGGAAGATGTTTAGTTTAGGCCTTACTTAAAGTACAGAGCTSTACAGTCTGGATAATCCTTTTAATCTTGACTTAAAACTTAAATAATTTGCTAAGTGAAGTAACTKAAAATTTAATTGCTGCATCTGATAATCCAAATCAAAGACTTTTGCAATTTTGGATTTGATTTAAAAGTTGTAGTTTAGTAATAACACTACTGACTGCATCTTTGTTCAGTTGAAATCCATTTTCCAAGTTAGCTTTAAGAGCCAAAACACTAAGAAAATGCTGCAGACATTTTCCTGTGAGTTAGAAAACCTCATTTCAATTATTTTTCTTGTTACAATAATGTTCAATTCTATAGTCTCACAATGTATTGGTTTTGATTCACAGTTACCAAATATTTTCAATTAGCTTTAACATAATCACATTTACACTTACTACGTTATAAGTTAAAGGTGCTGCACACAGGTAGTTGACATTAATAGAAATTATAAACCTTATTCTGAAAAATTCTTGCTTGGCTTCAAGCAGAATTAAATTAGTGACTTTTGTCTGATGAMAAACCAAAAATACTTGCAACTGTAYTGTGGTTCTCTAAAAATGCTTTGATTGGGAACACAATGTCTAGCTTTTTTGGGTCCTGCTTCCAAAGCAAGCACAACCCACAACACTAGTGGTATCAAATATTAAAATCAGTCAACTGGATATGCATAAACTACCTGTGTAATAAACCTTGGAGAAGCATTTCACAAACAACATTGTTAGTGTGCGATGTGATGTTTTAAATCAGACCACAGTGGTCCCCAACTACTATGTATATATGTTCAGTGCTGGAGTAACTTTTTTATTTACACCAGCAGTTTCATAAGAATTCTGATTTCCTGACTGACTTTGTGCTGCAGTCCTCAGCCACTGTGTGTATGGGAAGAACACAATACAAGTGACAACACAGCTCAGAGCAGGTACAGGCTGAAGTGTTTCCTGTTGTGGTAGACAGTTAAAATCTGGGTTTGGTAGGTGTTGATTTTCTACATCCCCCTTTGCTGTGCTTTGGGAAGTGCATGTCCATGGAGTGGTAATTTGTTCATCACAAAGTGTCACCAAAAGAAGACCAGGTTGACTCTGCCTCCATTTCACCCATTCTACATTTGCTCCACTATTTACCTACTCAGCTGGATAAGAAACTGTGGTAACTGTATAGCTCATTCCAGTCTGCTGCATAATCTCACTGATTTGATGTGATACTCCTAAAAGAGAAGGCTGCCAGGGAAATTAACAGCTGTRTAGGTGCATGTTCAAGAAACAGATTACTTAAGGTTGGAGTCCAACCAATTTTTCTTACTATGCAAAGATGGATATTGCACAAACAGATGAGACATGTCTGAGGAAATGCCACAGAATACTTGAAGTTATGTTTTAAGCCTAATCAGTCATGTTTTATATTCATTACTGCTTCCACTGTTACTTTTTCTTTTAAAAATTATTTGTAATTATTTTTTTAAGTGCACAACTTGATGTTGTTATAAATCAAGTTTTTGTTTGAAGTTAATACTCATTCATATCCTGTTGGCTGCTAATGAATGGAAATTAAATAGTCCTTGTTMTGCATCTTAGCAAGATGAGTATTAAAAATGTCATGAACATGGAATGGAGTAGTTTTTAATTTTMAATYTTTTTTTTTCCTTATTTATTCTCTCAGTTTAATTTAATTTCATTTCTGTGCTCAAGGAATCGACACTTTTGTAGTATTGGAAATTGACTGGAATTTTATGTTATCCAAGATCTCCAAAACTGTGTCCAATCTCACAGTGAGGCTCTGTCTGTGTGCACACAGCCTTTCTGCTGTKCATGGACCCAGTGCCTCAGCACCCAGGATGTACCAGGCCTGCTGCAATCCCAGCTGCTGGCAACACTGACTTCAGTGACATCTGGAGCCTTCTGTTAGTTGAGGGGAGCCTTTTTCCAGCTCTAAAATCTGGATTATGTAATTACAAGAAGACCAAAATGAGGCCTTCGAAGTATTCTCTAATTACATCATAACAAGATTATGACCATCACTTTGAATTTCATTCAGTATTCCATTAATTTCCCTTTTGTTTTATTGCCAGATTAACTCTGGTGCAGCCAGCCTGGGAAAATTAAATGCATGCATGTCATAGTTACCAGATAACTACTGATACTGTTAACTAGTGATACTGTTTTGCTTTCTCCAGCTCCAGACAGGGAAACAAAATACACTTTTATCCTAGTATTTCCCAAAGTTCTGTATAAAAGCACGTTTCTCATTTAGAACTATRGAGTGAGCAAACACTCTCATTTATGGAGCCACTATTATCCACTTTTATTCCCTGTCATTTGAATATAGGATTTATCTATAAACTCAATATGAATATGCAACATTTTGGCTATAATTAGAATAGAAAGTCATTCCTTAAAACAGGAGTTAAGTCTTTTGCAGCATATGAATAAAAAGCAATATAGAGATAGATGCATACCTGGTTTTGATTTTACAAGAAAAAGATTTTTAGAATTGTTTTTGAAARCTTTCACAATTCCAGTGCAAAACACTGGAGAGCAATCTTGATGGGGCACTTACTATCATGAACAAAACAAACACAACAAGCCATGTTGTACAAACCCAACCCCCCCTCTTTTGTTGTAAATGGACTTACTATAGATTCCTACCTACAAGAACTGAAAAGTTAATTTAATATGAATCGTTCATCAATAATACTGTAGAGACTAAGTGCCCATGGAAAGCTTAAATAAAAAAAAAAAAAAAGTAACTAGGAATTTTAGTAGTAGAGATGCTCAAACCAGTAATACAAAGCAAAATGTCACAAAAACATTATCTGAAAGCTGCACATACTACAATTCAGTTGAGTGATTTATGGTTCACAACTCAGCAAGCACATTATGTAGGTTTGTGCAGTAAGTCATTTAGTGGGAAYATGGAACACAAGAGGGGACACAACCCTAAGATAAAGTACAAGGACTCCATGTCAGACCAGCCTCATCAGCCACTGAATGTGTTATTTCTSAACAATCACAAACTGCTGAGGGCAGCATAATCCTGAATGCTCTAATTTGTAGAAGACCCATAATCAAGTGTCCGTTGATTTTTCTTAATAAATTTTTCTTTGAAAAAAGCTTGGTTTTGTCATAAGTCATAGGATACTCCTCAACTTTACCACTAATACTGTAACAAGTCATCCTTTAGTGTGRTACTTTCTGAGCCAGTGTAAGAATTTCCCCATCAGAGCTGGCAACTCCAAGCACGGAGGAACTGAAATGCATTTTACATTTCTGAGTCCAGTTGTCAGACTTCATAAGCAAAACACTCCAGCACTGTATATTATCATACCTTTACAGATTTACTCAGCCATCAGTTCAACTATTAAAGGCTTTGAATTGCTTTGGAGAGTATGAAGCAATGTTTGCATCTGCACTATGCAGAGAAGTTGTGAGAGAAGGGTGGTYATTAAAGCTTTGTTTTAACTGGTGACAAAGGCAAGAGCATGACACACTCCTTACATTTTACACTGGTAACATGCTGTGGTTTATAACATCTGTTTTTGCCTCTTGTGCAAAAAGGAAGTGTCCCCACACATAACACATGCTGCTTCTCTGCAGTCTAACCTGGACAGTGTTCAGCCAAAAAACAACACAAGTAAACTACTTTTGATTGTTTTTCTATCTCCAGCTGAAATGGTGATCAGTTTATTCTTAAGAATGAAGCATGTGTAAATACTTCAAACCTAGTGTTATTTGCATAAACCTTAAGAGAATTTTTAAAAATTTTAACTTCATGACAGCTATGCTAAACTTMCTTCCATATAAATTGCAGGAAACTTAGGTTAACAACTGACAGCTCTCATTTACCCACTTGACTCCTTTGAAAGCATTTTGTGCATATTGGAAACAAGAATCAATATCTTATGTGGGTTGCCCTCACACTTTACATCCACGATCTGGGATGATTTTTCCATAGATTGGGTCTTTGGACTGATGAAATTTTAGTTATCTACTCTGTRCCTGCTCTTCCAAGGGGATTCCTCRACATACATACATATTACTGAGGATGCTGAGCATGTGGCAGCAGCACCGGGGACACCTAAAGCTCCACCTGTCTATAGCAAAGTCTGATTTACAGCCTTAGTGCAGCCACACAAAGATGCTTCCTCTCATCTCTTCAGTTTATATAAACAGATGTTTTTCTTGCTATAAAGGACCTMTTCTCAAAACATGATTTATAGCAGTCTGGTTTGCTCCAAAACACACCAATAGCTGCATAATTGGAGAATGACTGCACAGAGCAATGCTCATGGTCTTGTTAAGCAGTCTCAATCTGTGCTTTCAAAGAGAAGGTCGAGTTACTTTTAAAATACAAGGACCACARTCTAAACCTCCATACTCTATTCATATATTTATGTTGGCATTTGCAATATTCYGACCATCCATTTCCTCCTCAGACCTTTTCCCTTGCCAACAATGCTCCTCTCTAAGGGTGGCACAACAATGAAATCGGATGCAAAGTGCACCCTGTTTCCTTTGGAGTCAGTAATTGCTCCCCTATTTYCTTTCAGGCACATCTGAACTCTGTATTGCTATTTCAAGACTCACTCCATTATGAAATTATTCTTACAGATACTGTTAACAATAACATARTTTACAGACAATGAATGCTTGACCAGGATTTCTGTGCAACGAGAAAGCAGTTCCAAGAAACTGAACTATTCTAGTGCCCTCCAGCATTCACTGAAAAGCTTCAGGAAATCTGCYTTGTGTAATGAGGAGGTCCTGAACTAAAGACCAAAAATTGCCTCATTTGCAGAAAGAAAGAAATAATTCCCTTCCATTACAGAATCCTGTCTGTGCGCTGTTGGATCAGAAGGCTGGGCAGGTAGGTAAAAGATTCAAGTTCCATTACATTTTTGCTTCACTTTTCCTTCTGGCTGGGCATTTTTCATTTCAAACACAAGATCTCTAGGACAGGAACTGTCATACTCAAAGGTACTCAAAGGTGACCTTTAGCACCTAGGCCAGGGAGCACTGATTTTAGGCAGAGCTGGTTGGCTGATAACTTTAAAACAACCCCCCTCCCCATGTATTCAAAAAAGTTATAATCYTCATTAATTATGCAGGTTTTTAGCTGTGCCTAATCAGTAACAGGATAGGAAAGAAAGGATCTTGTTAAATCAAACAGTGTTCTCAGAAGCTTCAAATTAAACTTAGTACATAGAAATCCAGTCTAGTATCCTCTTTGTAGCATTCCCTTTGAGAACAGGTTTCAAAGGGTACATTTGTGAAATAAAAATGGGAGTTTGAAAGGCTGATTGGCCTGACAAATTAAAAAATAAATAAAATATATGCTTAATTTTTAAAAATAAGCCCAATGTTATATCTATCACATAGTTCCTTACTGATAATGTATGGGTTTTGTCTCATCTAAGTAATCTAAATGACAGAGCTTGTACTACTTCACTCAGGAAAATCATTCAAGAAGGCAGATTTCCCTGCCAATGAATTATTCATGATAGATCTTGCACATTAAAAAATCCCCACCTTTCTCCTCTGACAACAACAGTAGTGTACTTATAAGGCTGTGGTTTGAAAAATTGCAAGTATTTTACAAATGCCAAAGAGGCCTAGTAAGAACTAGTAGCAGAAGAGAATAAAGCAGACAGTCCAGCAAACAGTCTGAGAATGAGCAGGTAACCAAGGAGAGCTGAAGATCCCACAGTTCCCTTTCACATGAGACAGAATATCCCCATTACTCTCCAGAATCTCCTGTGACCTATTTCTTGACCCTAAATAATTTGCTATCTCCCCCTTCAATTTCTTTGTGAAGACTATTTTCCCCAAAAAGTTTCAAGTGGGAGGATGCAGGCCTCCAGCACCAGGTCCTGGCTGCCAGGACAGTGTCAGTGCCATGAGTGTGACAGTGGCAGAGCTGGCACCGTTCCTTGGCATGCCCGTCCTGAAACAAGCATGCTCAAAAAGCCTTTTCTCCCAAAAGCTGCAGGAAAGAAACACCCTTAGAGCATGAGAAGGCAGAAAATACCACACTGTAATCCTACACAGCTTCAGGTATGAACACTCTGTGAAAAGGCTTTTCTTCCCCAGAAAACTTGGCTGTAACTCCCTGGGAGAAACCGATCCCATACCAGCCTTGTTTTTTTAGACATTAATGGCAGTTTTCTGAAAACATGTTTCACTGAACTGCTCTGTTAATTGTGACATACCCAGGGTGACTCTCCTGTCTGCCTGGGGTGCTGAAGATGAGAAGGGTTTCTCCGTTGCCTGGGAGTGCAGGAGGAAGCAGGAGGGCTGAATCAGGAAGCACCAATGMCTTTATTCCAGAATGTGTTGATATCAGTCCAGCACCCAAATGGCAACGAATCCCTTAAATCAAATATTAATAGTTGTCTGCCTATAAATATCCAGAATGGCATTCTGGAGTGAGTCAAAAGCTTTCTAACTGAATGGTTAATGTGAGACAACTTGCCCAAAAGACATGAACAATTAACTTTTCATGTACTATATTAATCAGTCTGGGGCTTTTTCTTATTTTCTTGGTATGTTTTAGTCTAGAGAGAAATGTGGTCACATCCATAACAAAGGTAATTTACATTTATAGTGTCACATATCACCAAATTATGTTTTCAAAAATATATATTAATTTTCTAACCAACATTGCTTAGCTTTCACTTGTAAAAATACCTGTTCCACACATCTTTTCAAAACTTGTGTTGAATACATTTGCCWTAAGAAGTGCTATCTCTTCCAAAAATTAATTTAAATAATTAAAATTTCACCTAAATCTACTCTTGGGGAAACACTCCAAGTATGGTCCTGGAGACAGAGTTGCTCACATCCTACAGCTGGTAGGCATAGAGAGAGAGAGGAACACATTATTAAAGAAAGACAAATCTATTCTAATAGGGAGCTGCTGTTCCTCAAACCTTTTAGCAGAATTCCACTCCCAAGGCACAGGCCAGAAACACGCCAGGGTGTCCAGCCCCTGGCACAGAAATGAACTGGATTCCTGCCTGTCCCATGTCTTGTCTGCCAGCTCCATGGAAATGTTTTGGGTCATCAGCAATAGTGCACAGCACTGAAGAATTCTATGTTCAAGTAATTATCAGTAATCTTCCCAATGGTTAGAACTGCTTAAGTGTTGCTTCACACCCAGTGACTTTCCTGCTGCTCATTCCAGAGCAGACCAGAGCACAGACCTCGAGGTTTGTTTAGAGAAGCATGGGGTCATCAAATACTTCATGAG